ACCTGAAGGTTATTTTCAGTGTGCGCAAAAAATTTTTGTTCAAGTAGTAAATGGCAATGCGTAGGAGTGGAAAATGTGAAAAAAAAATGACATTCGAAAGGGTTGAGTGCTATTGGGTCCGCACACGGTCATTGTTGCTATTTGTTTGTTGATGCAGTTGAACAAGTGTTCTTTAAGTGAGTCGTCAACTTGCTGTTGGTATTGCTGAAAGTGTTGTGTTTGCCTTATGCATAGAGAAACTTCCGAATCGTGGCCAACTGCTGGATGACTCTGCTCAATAGTCTTCTGCTAGGAACGTTTGTTTCCTTCCTCTTTTGCCGACAGCTGTTCTGTGGCAATGGCATTGGTGTTGCTGCTGGTGGAATAAGAATGTTGCATCTTTGGTCATCGTTACTCTTTCGTTTATTTATCCATTTTTGCATATATATATATATATATATATATATATATATATATAAAAATATATATATATATATATATATTAAATAAACAAATAAATAAATATATATATATATATATATATATATATATATATATATTAGTTTATATATATATATATATATATATATATATATATATATATTATATATATATATATATATATATATATATATATATATATAGGTGCTGTGCTTAAGAGTGCGTATTTTTGTTTGTGGTCGTCCCCAAAATCCTTACAACTTTTTGGTTTATCAAACAGCTTTTGCGTATAGACAATGTGTATATACGAGAGTGTGAGTTTGTGTCTGTGTGTCTGTGTGTGTGTCACTAAGTTCCCTTAACATTGGTTTTTAAGAAATGCGTTGACGAAGATAATAGGTAATCGCATGGGAAGCAGAAAGTATACAACACATTCCATTGCACATTTTGGCAATTCAGAACTGTTGCTAAACAGACTTATGATGATAGTATCATATTTTTTGTTTATTTCTGTTTAGGTAGTGAGCCAAGCAGATTTTTAGAACAAAAATTTCTCAAAGACTAGTTAGAACATGAACCGGAATTAACGGACTGTTGGC